ATATATATCTCAAGTGTAATTTGAATTTACCTCTGTTTCTGTGAATAGGAGGTGAGGCCCCAGGGTATGCTTCAGGTATGACTACCTTAAACCACACTGGTATGAGTCACACAATTTTCCGATTGCTGGGCATCCCTGGACTAGAGAACCAGCACATATGGATTTCTATCCCTTTTGCCATTTCCTATGTCACTGCACTACTTGGGAACAGCCTGCTCATCTTCATTATCCTCACAAGGTGCAGCCTCCATGAACCCATGTACCTCTTTTTCTGCATGCTGTCGATAGCAGACATTGTCCTGTCCACCTGCATAGTACCTCAGGCCTTGGCAATTTTCTGGTTCCATGCTGGGAAGATCTCCTTGGACTGCTGCATCACTCAGGTCTTCTTCATCACTTCCACCTTTATCTCTGAGTCAGGGATCTTGCTGGTGATGGCATTTGACCGCTACATTGCCATATGCTACCCACTGAGATACACCACTATTCTTACATATGCCCTGATTGGGAAAATTGGTTTAACCATCTTTCTAAGAGGTTATGGCACAGTTTTACCCATAGTATTTCTTCTGAAAAGACTGACTTTCTGCAGAAGTAACATCCTCCCAAACATTGCTTGTAAGCACATTGTCTTGGCTCGTATTTCTTGTGATGATATCCAAGTAAACATATGGTATGGGTTTTTTGTATTAATGTCAACCTTGGTCTTAGATGTAATGCTTATTTTTGTTTCTTATGTGCTCATTCTCCATGCTGTCTTCCATATGCCTTCCCAAAACACTCGTCACAAAGCTCTGAATACCTGTGGTGCCCACGTCTGTGTCATCATCCTCTTTTATGGGCCTGGGATCTTCTCAGTCCTCACTCAGCGGTTTGGACACCACATCTCACCCCATATCCATGTCCTGTTGGCCAGTGCATATATCCTTGTTCCACCTACGCTGAATCCCATAATTTATGGGATTAAGACCAAACAGATCCGGGACCAGGTGGTTCATGTGTTCTTTACAAAGCAGACCTGACTGTGACCATTGATTATTCTCAGTAGCTCCATGCTTTACATGAGGTTTAGCTTCCAGATGTAGAAAAATTGAGCTGATATGGTAGTCAAATGGCTTCATGTGTTGGTGTCTCTAGAACAACCACATCGGGGAAGTTTTAGTTCATGTTTCTTCCAAGGCTTTTTTTTTGGTCATTAGATATCTGTGTCTTTGAGAACTTAATTTGCTCTTTCTCATCCATAGAATTGAGAACTGGACCAGTTCAGCTTTTAAAGTTACTCTTATCCCTATAACACTACTGGAGGTTGGAATAAGATGAACTGGAGACCAAGGATTTTCCTGGATAATTGCTAAACTATATTTTTCCTGATGTTTTTAAAACTTTGAATAGTTGTCCTTGTTTTATGCCTTTCATTAGGATATCTCTTTAGCCATTGTCTTCTATGCCATCCATGTCTTTAAATATTTGCTTTTTAGATAAATTATTACAAAAATCACCTGCATATTATAATTCATATATTTTCACCAATACTATATTTTAACATATATTGATATGTGTATGTACTCAGACAACTAATTTCTCCCTCAAATATAGTTATGTTTCATTAATGGTTACATTTATGACATCTTTATTTATATTGGCATTCATTTGAAGTAAATATTCAAGAATGCTCTATTGGTTGGTTAGAATATAATATATATTATATGATATATTAACAATTAAGAAAAATCACATTGAACTATAAGAAATGCTTTCTAAGGAGCACACTTAGCTAAATTAATTATGGCATATTCTTCACACACAATAAAATAGGATGTTGAAAAATAACAACATAATCTTTATTTTTATCGATGGCACCATGCTTTCAATATATTTTTAAGAGATAGAAGTAAGTTCAAGATGAGTAAAATAAAAAACCCCCATCAACATATGTAAACATTACTATGTGCTAAAATTATATTAATGTTGAATATATAAGAATTATATTGTATAGGTAATTTCTATAATAATTTTAGTCTAAATTGTCTAATATTCATATAATCAAAATGATTTACTCAAAGGAAAATAAGTGAAACACTTTTTAAAAAAGTATTTGGTCAAACCATTAATATTTCCTTTAGTGTAGGAATGGTAGAGATGAATTATCTCAGATTTTGCTTATCTGCAAATATTTTTACTTTTGTCTTTAGTTTTAAAGGGATCATTTCATAAATATAGAATTTTATGTTGGCAATGTTTTCTTCAGCACTTTAAAAATGTCCCTCTATTGTTTTCTTGTGCCTGTCTTTTCTACTAGGAGCTCTTGTGGTGTAGTGCCTAAGGCATTTGACTACTAATCAGAAGTCTGGCAGTTCAAACCCACCAGCCCCTCCTGGGAAGGACAATTGGGCAATCTACTTTGGTAGAGATACCACATCAGAAATCCAAGGAGGGATTGCTGAGTCTAGTTGAGCTCTGATGGTGCAGTGGTTTGGCTGCTAACTAAAAGATTGGGGGTTTGAACCCACCAGCCCCACCGTGGGAGAACAGTGAGGCAGTCTGCTTCTCTAAAGATTTACAGCCTTGGAAAGCCAATGGGGATCACTAGCACTAGGAATCCGACTAGATGGCAGAGAGTATGGTTTGGTATCTTTTCTATTGAGAAATCACCTGAAGCTTTATTGCTGATCCTTTGAATGCAATTTGCCTTTTATCTGGCAATTTTAAGATTTTCTTTTGTGTTTTCATTTTTTCAGAACATTTATTGTCATGTATCCATGTATAGTAGGAAAAGTTTAATTTTCTATGTGTTGTGACCCACACACTCCTCAGCTTAGTACCACTTTAAAGTTCTCAAACCAAAAAGCATACTCACTGCTGTTGAGTCTATTCTGACTCATAATCACCCTGCTCTGAGTTTCCAAGGTGGTAAATTTTTATGGAAGCAGACTACCCCATCTTTCTTCCATGGAGTGGCTGATCAGCATTTCCACAAAAGGAGCCTGGTCTCTGGCTCCAGAGATAGCAGAAAACTCACTGCCATCGAGTCCGCTCCAACTCATAGTGACCCTCATTGTGTTTCCGAGGTGGTAGATCTTTATGGAAGTAGATTGCCCCCTCTTCCTCCTGTGAACACTTGGTGGGTTTGAACTGTCAACCTTCTGGTTAGCAATCAAGTGTCCTAGGCACTGTGCCACCAGCACTGCCCAGGGGGGGAAAGGCAGACTTTATTTACAAATTTCTGGGTGTGTTTGTTTGAACCAGCCTGAGAAGTGAAGCCAGTCACCTCAGTTTGACTAGTCTCAGAGCAGTGGGTAGGCAATGCCTGCAGACTGTATGTAACTGCCTTTTGCTGCCTTCTGTTAAAGAATGTGATTAAAACATACAATGAATGCTCAAGGACTTAAAGGAGAAGGCAAGGGTAAAATTTCTTTGGAAAATTAAGGCATTCAAAAGCACTGTATATAAGGTAGGGTTGGGGACTGACAAAGCCACATACATGTCCAGGACAAGATACACCAAACCAAACTCTCTGCCATTCATTCGATTCTGACTCCTAGCAACCCCCATTGGGGATCCAAGGCTGTCAATCTTTACAGAGCAGCTGGTGGGTTCAAACCCCCAATCTTTTAGTTAGCAGCCAAATGCTTTAATCTCTATACCACCAGAGCTCCAAAACACAAGACAGAGGTGCAGACAATACCAGAGATCCTATGTTTTTACCTTGGGGCTAATATCTAGGTTCAGTGAGAGCCTGGCTAAGTGTTGAAGGAGGGCCCCAGACAGATCTAAACTGGGTGACCTTTATTCCCCTGGCACTCGGGAAATCTGCCAAAACACTAGCTGAACACAAGTTAAGGACCAGAAACTTTGGTGTCTGTTCTGGTTACCTAGTACCACTCTGACAAGAAATATACTGCAAATGGGATAGCTTGAACAAACAGGAGTTTATTCTCTCACAATTTGGAGGGTTTAAGTCCAAGTTCAAAGTGCCAGGCTCTAGGGGCTGTGTGAAAGCCCCTCAACCTTGGGCTTCAGTTCTGCCTCTTGCTCCCGGCCCACTGAAGCTAGAGGCATAGCTTCACTCAGGCAGCTACTGGCTGCTGAGGCTAACAAGGTCACGGTCGACAAATAAAATGGCACAGTCCAGATGTTACCAAACCACATGCCAGGCCTTTAATTCAAGTCCATTATAAGTCCCAAGGTTGGCAGAGCATGGCAGGCTGTTGAACAAATGGCACGGCTACACACAGGGTCCAAGCATGCCATAAACTAGAGACTATTCCCAAAGCTGCCTCTTATATACGGGAAGCAGACCACATACCCAAAGCAGCTACTCAGCTGCTTGTGGTAGATCCCACCATGGAGTTGATTGTCAGTCTCATCATGGGGAATAACTACCACCAGCTGCCAGCCACTCAACCAGGCCCAGCCAAGTTGACACACAAACATAACCACCACAGCGTCCATATATGACCAAGAAGGAAGTTATTTAAAAAAATAGGGAAATCACTAAACAAACAGAATACTGCAGGTTTTATCAATTTAAAAAGAAAACAATTTTCTTGCCTGAATAATAATAATAAAAAAAAGTCCCAGCAAATCTTGTGGAAGAGAGAGAATATGACTTCCAGAATCACCACATTATAATATTCAAATGAATAAAAAAGCATACAAGGAAACAGGAAAGGATTTCCCATTCTAGAAAACAAAATAAAAGGACAGACACCATCCTGGAGGAAGACTACATAATGGACTTGCTAGATAAAGACTTTAGGACTATAGTACTAAATATACTCCAAGATCTAACGGGAAGAACAAAGAACAAAGCAAATCAGGAAAATGGTATAGGAACAAAATGAGAACATCGATAGAGAGAAATTATAAAAAAAAAATTATAGAAATTTTAAAATTATAAAATTTAGAGAAATTATAAAATATCAAACAGAAGTACTGCCTTTTAATCTGTATGAGTTGAGGCTACTATGAGAAAGTATTTGTCATCATCCTCTGCTTGCGGCACCAAATAATATACATTCAATGTTCAATTATATTATTTACTCCAGCTATTCTTGGTGATGAATTTGTCGCCCCTTTGCACATTCTTTCTATGTCTTTTTTTAAAAAAATCACTATTTAGTTATTTTAAGTAAATGATACACACATATTTGCAAAGGAGAAATACCTTTATGTCTAAAAACAGCTTTGCGTCTGTGTATAAAAATAAAGTCAGAGAATTCTAATCAAAATGATGTCTGGATCTCATTCAGAAGAATTCTTCTCCCACTTAATTTCTAGAGCTACTCAGTATATTTTTTTAGTAATGTTTATTTTAAGAAAATTAAACTGTAGAGAAAATGCAAGAATATTACAGTGAAAACGCATATTACTTTCATTTAGAGTTACCCACTGTTACCACTTTTTCACATTTGCTTTGTTGATTTCTCTCTTTCAGTCTCCTTATTGTATATTATCATTCCTATACTTTTTCTTTTGCTGTTCCATTGGAAAAGAAGTTGCAGATATCATGACCCGTCACTTTAAATATTCAGCATGTGTTTCTTGAAAATGAGGAGAATCTCTTACATAACTACAATCCAAATATACAATTCAGGATATTTAACACTGACACATTATTATTATCCAACATGCAGTCCCTATTCAGAATTATCAAGGTCTCTACACAATAATTTATGGAGTCCCTCAGTGGTGCAAAGGGGTAAACACTCAACTGCCAATTGAAAGACTGGTGATTTGAATCCATCCAGACGGGCTTTGAAAGAAAGGCCTGGTCATCTGTTTCTGAAAGATCACAGCCTTGAAACCCCATGGAAGGCGTTCTCCTCTGCATTCATTAGGTCACCATGAGTCGGTATTGACTCGACGGCAAATAGTTTGGTTTGGTTTTTATACAATAATTTATACCAACAATTTTCCAGTCCTCCACTCAATCTAATTTTGCATGTTACATTTAGTTCTCATTAAATTAATTCATGCATCTTTAGTCTCCGTTGGAAACTAAATCTGGAATGACACCTAAAGCTTTCATTGTCTTTCATGACATTATTATTTTCAGAGTACATTTGTATTTTGTATAATGTCCCTCAGTTCGAGTTTGTCTGATGATTTCCTCATGATTTGATTCAAGCTATGCATTTTTGACAGGAAGACCCTATAATTGCTATTGAGTCTTCAGTTTTTTTCCCATTAATGATGATGTCATTGGATCACTCAAAATGTTTCAGTTAGATTTCTCTCCATAAGGGTGGCTGTCTTTCACTGAGATTGTTTAAATATACAGTTTCATGGCACATTTTAATCCAATTGTTTTAGGATCCATTGATGATACTTGCCTGAACCAGTTATTATTAGGATGTTTGCAAAACAGTAATTTTCTATTTCAATGATTACATCTACATTTATTCACTTTCTACCATAAAGAAGAGATTTTGACTTCCAGTTCTAGTCAAGATAGAGTAGTCCCATTCCTTGAAGTTTCTTCCACTGACAACAAAAATCACTGGACACAACACAACAAATATATGAATAAGGTAGTCTGTATAGGGACTTTGTCTTTTTAAAAAATTTTTCTAGTGTTTTCTACACAGAACATAGATTTTCAACAAAATAAAACTTAAAAAAAGAAATATGGAAATATGTTGTTTTTCTCTAGAGCATCAACTAAATATATTGGATAGAAGTTGGTCAGGGAAAGTTCCATAGAAGAGACAATATTGAGAATAGGATACGAAATGTGAAGCAAAAGTTTCCCAAAAGTCAAAAGAGGTTATTCCAAGTCGAAGCAGAGACACATGAAAGACCTAGGAAAGAATAGGCGTGAACAGCCTTTTGTTTCTGAAGCTCTGATTGCTTATTAGGTAATATGAGAAGTGTTGCTCTAAAAGAAATCAGGGACCAACACTAATGTCCTGCCATGTTGAGGAGGACATCACCTGAAGAACACACTTGACATTAAGAATGGAGGAGTCTTCTTCCTCAGCATTCTTCCGGCACATACCATGCTTCAGAAACCACATTAGAACTTCCCAACAAAGACTGATCAGCTTTAGTCTCCTCAAGAGTTCTTCTGCAAAATATGAGCACACAATTCATTTATACTCTCTTGTTATAGACATGTATGTCGATTAGAATGTGAATTATAATGTGCTATGGATAACCTGAAAGCTTAGGAACCACTAGTTCTAAGAAAATCACTTAGCTAGAATGATAGACATAAAAGGAAGGGAATGTGTATGTTGCTTTTGAGGGATATGCATCATATGATGCATCAGAGCTTGAGATATCCAGTGCAGATTAGATGAACAAATTCTCAGTCAGAACATTGTTTTCACTTCATCCATTTCCAGAGGTTAGAATAGTGTCATAAGGGCTACATGAGTTGTGGAGATCAGTCCATCCAGTCCCAGGTCTGTGCAGGAGGAAGCTTTCTCAGTCAAAAATGGCACTTTTCTCTCAGATTGTACAGACAATTAAAACAAACAAACAAACAACAACAAAACAAGCCCTGCTACTTCCCTGGTAAACTTGCTCTAAACAAAGACTCTCTTAGCTATTTCCCTAGTGTTTCAGCTTCCTCTCCACAACTTCTGTAGACCACCTCATGGATATCTAGAGACTGAAAACTCAGTTCCTAACCAAAAATTATTTCTGCTTCGTAAATAACACACCAACCACCTCATCTCGGATCTGTTTGGTCTTGATCCCATAAATGATTGGATTCAGCATAGGTGGAGCCAAAATGCAGACATTAGCCAACAAAATGTGGATATGAGGTGGGATGTGGCGTCCAAACCGCTGAGTAAGGGTTGTGAAGATTCCAGGCCCATAAAATAGGATGATGACACAGACATGGGACCCACAGGTGTTCAGAGCTTTGTGGCGAGCATCTTGGGAAGGCATGCGGAAGACAGCACGAAGAATCATCATATAGGAAACAAAAATTAGTACAACATCTAAGACCACTGTCAGTATTAGTACAAAGACACCATACCAGATGTTCACTCGAATGTCATTACAAGCATATTTGGCCAAGCCAATGTGTTCACAGAAAGTATGTGGAATTATATTATTTTGGCAGAAAGTCAATCTTTTCAAAAGAAATATTATGGGAAAAATTGTACCACAACTCCTCAAAAAGGTATTCACACCAATTTTCCCAATCAGAGAGTGTGTAAGAATGGTGGTGTATCTCAATGGGTAGCATATGGCAATGTAGCGGTCAAATGCCATCACCAGCAAGATCCCTGACTCAGAGATAAAGGTGGAATGGATGAAGAAGAGCTGAGTGATGCAGCAGTCCAAAGAGATCTCCCCAGCATGGAACCAGAAGATGGCCAAGGCCTGAGGTACTGTGGTTGTGGAGAGGACAATGTCTGCTGCAGCCAGCATGCAGAGGAAGAGGTACATGGGTTCATGAAGGCTGCGCCTTGTGAGGATGATGAAGATGAGCAGGCTGTTTCCAAGTAGGGCAATGACATAGGAAATGAAGAAGGGGATGGAGATCCACATGTGCTGGTCCTCTAGTCCTGGGATGCCCAGCAATCGGAAGACTGTGTGACTAACATTAGTGAGGTTTAATATATTCATGTCTGGGTAGACCACTAGGGACGCACTTCCTGTTCACAGAGACAGAGTAAAATGCAGATTGTCCATGAATCTTTTACCTGAAGTCACAAGACACTTCAGGCATATCCCACAGTCTCCATCTTTGATCATGCAAATAAGAAATGCACAGGATAAATAAGATGAAGTCTGCACTCCAATGAGTCCAGTTAAAAGATACACACAAATCCCACAAATAAAAGTAAAATCCAGTTTTGTATGTATTTCTTTAAAACAGAGTTGTAGGAGTACACAAAGGAAATTATGTGTGTGGGAAGGCTAATACTTGATCTTGAAATTGAGTAGCTAATCAAAAAGTGAGGAATGAAAAATAGGGGAGCAGCATAGGAAAAGTGAGTGTACAGACCAGTGCACAGTATGTTCATGAGACATTTCAGCCCAGGGTAGTGCATAAGAAGCATCAGAGTGAGGCAGAGGAGGTGTTGTAGAGGCAGGATTATGCTGAAGGGCTTTGATCACAACTGAACACTTGGACTCCAACTGGACATGGGATGGCCATCAGATGCTTTGATCTCACAAATATTGTTTCCTTACCTGTGAAGAGGCCTTTAGGAGGGAAAATTGGCATGGCCTATGGCCTGATTGAGATACCTTGCACCTTAGGAAACTAAGTTTAGAGATTGAAATTAGAAAAAAAAAGTCATTATTTCTGGAAGTCAGAGGGTGGTACAGTGCCTGACATTTGGAAGATTTCTGTATGTGGAATAAAGTGTATTTCATCTTTTGTCTCCTAGTGCTAGTGGACTTTCATTCCTTCATGAGTCTAGTCATTCAGAAGGCATATTTTTATCAGTGACTATTTTTTAGGCATCATGCCATATACCTGAATCCTAACTCAGCTCATGGTTTAAGAAAGAGGCAGATATGTAAGCAGAAATCGTCCAGGAGTTTGGACTCAAGGGAAACTTCTCAAAATAAAGCTCTTGTCAATCCCACTTTCATTGAATGAAGAAATGGAAACAATAAAAATACTTTCCTCATGGGGTGTCTAAGGATATTAAATATCAGGATATCTTAAAATATCCAGCTCAGCAACTAAGATATATCTTAAGTTCTTTAACATTATTTCTTTCACTCCAATTCTCCGTTTTGCACTCCAATTCTCCGTTTTGATGCCCTTTTTCTTTCAGGAAAGGAAACTCTATCCTATTACCATCCTCTCAGTGCTGGTAGAAATTGTTCTTCCATTAGCACCACCTGTTGAGTGAGTCCAGTCAGCTGGCCTTGGGACAGAGAACTGCATCTTGTGCAGCATAGCAACACTGTGAGAAACTTCTCTTCAGTGAGGGTAGCAGTCCTCCCATAAGAGGTGAAAGGAAAGGAAGACTGGGATGGCATGAGGAGAGAGAAGTGTGACAGGCAGCACCCCACAGACCAGACAAGGAAAGGAAAAGAGAAAAAAAGCAAGAAGGAAGGAGCCAGGGGAGACACCAACCAATAAAGGCAGGGCTTGAGAGGAGGGCAGATTACAGTAGCTGATGTTGAGCAGGTGTTAGAGGAGAAGGTGGATCAGGGGAAATGGTATTATTCAGAGCCAGAGAGACAGGCCAAAGAGCTCAGGGTTTAGGGATTTGCCTATGAAATTGGTCTCTTGACTTTGATCTAACAGGAGATTGTCCTAAAAATCCCTACTCAAATGCCACTTCCCTGTACATTTCTTCCTAACCTGCCTGAGAAACACTGACCATGTCCCCAAAGCCCCTCCTACACCCTGCTAGGGGCAGCCCAGCATAGATCTGTGCCATTCTTTGAATTCTCCTCCTGTTTTGCCATGTGGGGTCTATCATCTAAGGCAATGTGCTGTTTTCCACGTTCAGGCTAATTATCAGGGTCCCTGTAGCTTATTGGATATCAGAAGCCTGGTGGTCCAAACCCACCAGCCACTCCTTGGAAGAAAGATTGAGCAATCTACTTCTGCAGTGATACCACCTTGGAAACCCAAGGAGGGGTCACTATGAGTTGGAATTGACTTGATGGCAGTGAGTTATCTCTTTAATTACAAATGTTCAGTAGCCTCCAGCTAGCCTATATGCCCTCACTCTCCCTTCCCAGATCTTATTCTCCACTTCTGTCTGATAAAACAAACTATGTGCCTCTGCCTTTCCCATTCTTCTTCCACATATATCGATATCCTCCAAGACTCCTGTTACCTCTGCTTGTATGAGGACAACACCAGGGCAATTCTTACCTTGATCCTGGAATCATCGCCATGCACAGATGTCTAATTCATTCACCAGCCTCAGACTGAGTGTTCAGGAACAGATATGAGATCAGTGATGAACTTATTCGTTGAAGGCCAGGAAGTTGGGCTATTTATCTTCCTTCATGAAAGCCCCTGAGGCAAGCATTTGCACCACGGTCTCCAGGGACGGAGCTGTCTGCACCAGCCTCACCCTCTCCCCAAATGGGCCAAATCCCTAAGACTGGTCCCCCTTCCATCTTTCTGTCCTGCTCCTCCCCAGGTGCTGTGATCTCAATCCCACACTAAGTGTTCTTATTTATGATGTTTCAGTACAAAAATCTCTTCCAGTTAGCTCAAGCCTTGCTTTAGGTATGTTATGTTGCTAGCTTAAGTGAATATGGAACTTTATTTTCAATCTCAATTTCAATATGTTTGTTCTTTATGAAGAGGATTATGTTGAAGGAGCTCTGGTGGTGTAGTGCCTAAAGCTTTTGACTGCTAACCACAAGGTGGGCAGTTCAAACCCACCAGTGGCTCCACGGAAGGAAGATGGGGCAATCTACTTCTGGCCTCAGAAACCCAGTGTGGGTTGCTTCGAGTCTGAATTGACTCAATGACTGTGGGTTTTTTTTTTTTTTTTATGTTGAAGTTATATTAATTCCTGGAGTGGTCATAAGAGTCATATTTTGGAGTCATAAACAGTTTTAACTCTTCCTAAAGGTATCTATCTGTCCATACAGAACAAACTATAGAACATATGTGATTTGTGATTAGTTGAAATACATTCTAATTTTATTTGCCTGCCAAGGACATTATTCTATTTATTAGTTAGTCATCATAAACCCACATTTATGGTTGCTGGGAAAAGAGTCTTGTCTTTTCTTTAGAGAAGATTCTTTTCCCAGCAACCATAAATGTGGGTTTATGATTCTGTTTCCTTTACCCACCATTCATCTGCTAGTTTGTCATACTGTGGTGGCTTGCATGTTGCTATGAGGCTGGAGGCTATGCCACTGGTATTTCAGATACCAGCAGCGTCACCCATGGTGGAGAGGTTTCAGCGGAGCTTCCAGACTAAGATTCAGAAGAAGGAAGGGGTCATCCACTTCTCAAGAACTGGCCAGTGAAAACGTTATGAATAGGAGTGAAACATTTTCTGATACATTACTAAAAAACTTTACAAATAGCTCTGAAACATTGACTGATATAGTGCCAGAAGATGAGCCCCTCAGGTTAGAAGGCACTCAAAATATGACTGGAGAAGAGCTGCTTTCTCAAAGTAGATGAGACTTCAATGATGTGGATGGAGTAAGTAGTGTTCCATTTGCTGATGGGGCATGACTCAAAATGGGAAGAAACAGCTGCAAACATCCATTAATAATTGGAAAGTAATAAGTGGAATGTTATTTGTTGTTATGTGCTATCGAGTCAGCTCCCACTCACAGCAACCCTATGTATGACAGAATGAAACTCTGCCCAGTCCTGTGCCAGTCTCACAATCCTTGCTACACCTGAGCCCATCATTGCAGCCACTGTGTCAACCCATCTCATTGAGGGCCTTCCCCTTTTTCGTTGACCCTCCACTTTACCAACCATGATATCTTTCTCCAGGGAATGGTCCCTTCTGACAATATGACCAAAGTAGGTGAGACAAAGTCTGGTCATTCTCACTTCCAAGGAACGTTCCGGCTGCACTTCTTCCAGGACAGATCTGTTAGTTCTTTTGGCAGCCCACAGTACTTTCAGTATTCTTCACCAACACCACAATTCAAAAGCATCAACTCTTCTTTGATAGTCTTTATTCATAGTCTAGCTCTCATGTGCATATGCTGCTGTTGTTGTTATGTGCCGTTGAGTCGGACCTGACTCACAGTAACCCCTCCTTGGGTTTCTGAGGCGATATCACTATGGAAGTAGATTGCCCAACCTTCCTTTTGAGGAGTGGCTGGTGGATTTGAACCATCAGCCTTCCAGTTAGCAGGCAAGTATCTTAGGCACTATGCTACCAGAGATCCTCACCTGCACATGAGGCAATTGAAAATGGCATTTTCAATGGCTGGGTCAGGCACACCCTCGTCTTCAAAAAGACCTTTTTGCTCTTCATCACTTGCAGCAGATTTGCCCAGTGCAATACATTATCTCATGTCTTGACCACTGCTTCCACTGGTGTTGATTAGGAAACCAATATGAAATCTTTAACAACTTCAATCTCTTCTCCATTTATCATAATGCTGCTTACTGGTCCAGTTGTGAGGATTTTTGTTTTCTTTATGTTGAGATAAAATCCATACTACAGACAGTAGTCTTTAACGTTCATCAGTAACTGTTTCAAGTCATTCTCACTTTCAGCAAGCAAAGTTGTGTCGTCTGCATATCGCAGGTTGTTAATGAGTCTTCCTCCAATTCTGATGCCACACTCTTCTTCATATAGTCCAGCTTCTCAGATTTTTTGCTCTGCATAAAGATTGAATAAGTGTGATGAAAGGATACAACCCTGACACACTTCCTTTCTGATTTTAAACCATGCAGTATCCCCTTGTTCTGTTTGAATGACAGCCTCCTTGTCTATGTACATGTTCCTCATGAGCACAATGAGATGTTCTGCA